GTATTGGGTAGTATTGGGTGGTATTGGGTAGTATTGGGTGGTATTGGGTAGTATTGGGTAATTAGACGCGCCGCCAGAAAATGGTGTAAAATTGGAAACAGAAACAATAACGTATTTTAGTCACCAAAGCAGATGTAACGAAGCTTGAAAGTACACAAAGATGCCGATAAGACAAAGGAAGATAGCCCTTATGGGCTTCCGATCTGTCGGTAAGTTTATGACATTGTAACTCTCCATGTATGACTTTCAACTTTTGTAGTTCATGTTTTCTACTTTTCATTTCATCGTGTTTCGAATATCAGATTTTATGTGCTGGAACTCTGCCAGATACAAGTAACTTTACTCATAACCCTGTGATAAGTCTGAGCACTCAAGATGTTGTCGCACTTAAGGAAGTTTATTTACGTTACCATTAATAGTTAACATTGTGAAATAACGTAAACAAGTGCGTAAATTAGACAACTAAGATTGATTGTAGTCTAAAAATAGACCCAAATAGTTTGCTGCATAGGTACATTGATATAAATATTGAATATACACTTGCGTAGCTTATAAAATATTTAATATGATATAAATGTAGCATATAAAGACTTTAACAAGAACAATTATAACAATTAACACATTGTAATATGAAACAAGAGGGAGAGTATTGTACATGTGCTTCAACCAGGGATCGAACCAGCGACCAAGTGCGCTGCTCTGCCTATTGAGCTATAAGGGTATTCCCACCTAGTGTGATTTTTTTAGTTAATAAAGAAGATCTAATTTTATCGTAATAAATGTACAATTATATTTAGCTGCCGAACCACCTATCCCCCCCCCCTCCTTTCATCCTCAAACACCAAAACAACCCAGAGGTTGTCACAACAGGGAGAGCTACACACACTTTTTGGTGGGAAAGAGAGTAATGACTGCACAGTATTCTCCTCTTTTTCAAATGTAGTGAATTCCAGTTCTCCCTCGAACACAATAAGAACCCAGGTTCTAACTCCCTGTCACCACAGGCCTAGGGAGGGCCAAAGACACCATTTGGACCAACGTTCTCAACTTCCCAGTCTGCTGCTCTACACACATAAATATAGATTACTTATAATTAGTCAATATTCTCTATAAGACAGCAGTTACGGGATATTTTGTCTATTTTTTGGGGTGGTGCAGTGGATAACGCACTCGCCTTTCACCAAGGCGGCCAGGGTTCAATTCCCCGATCGGATGTGAAAACATATGGGGTCAGCTGCCAGACCACTTGGGTTTTATCTGGTTTCCTCCTACATTAAGTTCTGCTGCGCATGCATGCTAACATCCGAGCCAACAAGAGTGATTGATATATATTTATATATTATATATATATATTAATTTGAAATATTTTAATTGTTTTATAATGGTTGTAAAACAAATAAAGTTTATATAATAGATAAGTATTTGTTTTATTTTGCAGGAAAATCCTCTGTCACCATACAGTATGTTGAGAATCACTTTGTGGACTCGTATGACCCGACCATAGAAAACAGTATGTGTATCACAAGGATATAGACTGTGTACAGAGAAAATAGTCTGTTGTCATTTAACTTACAATTTTAGGATATAGTGAGAACACAAAATATTTTATTATTCCTCAACGATTTTACAGCGTGTCTGATTGGTTTAGACACATCACATGACAGGGCTACAAAACATCGGGTATTCCTCACACGATCCATTTTCCCTGTCGAGTATCCCTCTCGGAACCCATCGCAAATTAGTGGACGAGTTGTCTCTCTTTGTTAGACTCTCTAACGCCCGATGTGTTCCGGACGACATCCAAATATCAACAATGGCTGCGAACGGGAGATTCCACCTCCCAACAGCTGAAGAACTGGAAGGGCTATAATTGTTGTTCAATTTGATGTAAAATCAAAACACTGACAGTGATAGGTATTTGTAGTATATATATGCTACCAGACCTAATGAAATAAGGGCGAACAGGTCAGTCACAACAGTGACAACACAGGGGATCATTGCATTGCCTAAGGTTGATGTATTGTTGTTATATGTATATAACACAGACGCCACAGATGGAATTTTGGAATAATAAAACAGTTATTTCCCTGGTGTGAGGGAAACCTGAAGAGTTATTCCCCCTCCACAAATCATGTTTCCCTTGGGCTCCGCCCTCGGGAAACATGATTTATCTCGGGGAAACAACTCTTCAGGTCTCCCTCACACCAGGGCAATAAGTGTATAATATTTGCTATTAATACAATGGTGGTAACATCTTGCTAACCATTGCATGATCCAAGCTTCGATTTGTGGAAGTGAGGGGAAGGGTATTGGTTACAGTTATTGATATAATATATCAATTATGTGATTTGGTGCTGTACAATGTAGATATAGACTTTGAGGCCTGAACGTGTTGACAGTTATTTTAGGACATATTTCCCTTATCTGATGACCTTGGTATCCAGTCACCAACAATCCCAATGTCCCACTTTCCATGGTCAGACACCAATATAATCCTGAATTGTCCCACTTTCTGTGGTCAGCCCCCACTAGTCCTGTTGTCCCACTTTCCATGGTCAGTCACTTACAATTTCAATGTCCCACTTTCCATGGTCCGTCACTAATAATTCAAATGTCCCACTTTCCATGTGGTCAGTCACTAATAATTCCAATTTCCCTCTTTCCATGGTCAGCCACCAATAACTCTAATGTCCCACTTTCCTTGGTCAGTCAGTAATAATTCCAATGTCCCACTTTCCATGTGGTCAGTCACCAATAATTCCAATGTCTCACTTTCCATGGTCAGTCACCAATAATTCCAATGTCCCACTTTCCATGGTCAGCCACCAATAATTCCAATGGCCCACTTTCCATGATCAGACACCAATAATTCCAATGTCCCATTTTCCAGGGTCAGCCACCAATAATTCCAATGTCCCACTTTCCATGGTCATCCACCAATAATTCCAATGTCCCACTTTCCATGTGGTCAGCCACCAATAATTCCAATGTCCCACTTTCAATGGTCAGCCACCAATAATTCCAATGTCCCACTATATATCCAACCATTGTTTTTGGATACATATTTATATATCCATCTTCTATTCAAATGTGTCCATTTATCCAGGTCTTGGGCACTTTGCATGTTATCTCAGTACTTCTGTGGGAGGTGGGAAGGGGTGGCAAAAAGGGGCTAGATTATAGTGAGGTTTGGAAGTCTACATTCACTGTATTTTATGTTTTGTCCTTGCAGCTTTTCAGAAAAACCATAAGATCAATGGGCAGGATTACGTACTAGACGTTGTAGATACAGCTGGCCAGGTACTGTTGCTACATAATACAGATACATTCCACAATGTTTTAGGTGCTATCATGTTTAACCTTGATACTAGATAGCTGATTCTGACAATTTTTGAAAAGGGAGTTTTGCCTGAATTTGTAAAAAAAAATGCAGTGAAAATCATGTTATATCCTACATTTGTAGGGTTTTCATTCTTAGTATAAAAAAAAGTCTGCTTCAGTTTCTGAATTTTTCTCCTGCTGTCTGAGAGATTTTCTACAGTGAGACAGATACTTAGACTGAATGGTCCTTACGTTTGCCAGAAGTACTCACTCTTTAAGGGGTGTAAAAACAATTAAAGCGTACAAATCCCTCTGATAGGGTATGAGTAAAGAGAGGATCCAAGGATTTAAAGAAAGCTATTAAAAAAATACAATTTTGACTCTAATAGTTGTGATATAAATGCCTTTCTTCGCAAAGAAACTGCATCCTTGATAAGAAAATCTTGAAAATTTAGGAAGATACCTTAAATCCTCTGCAACCATAGTAAAAAAATCACATTTTTTCTGTAGCCAAATAAATACTGTTCAGTAAATCAGGTTATAATTTTGTCATTTCAGGATGAATATTCTATTCTACCTCAGACCTATTTCATGAGTGTAGACGGTTATATACTGGTATACTCTGTCAACTCACGGAAAAGGTAAGTTACCACATGAGTATAGACAGTTATATACATGTTTACTCTGTACACCTATCTTAAAAATTATCTAGATCGCAAAGTTATGATCTGTGTAAATGTAATTTTCTAATTGTGGGTCAAAAATGCAAAAATTTCAGCCGATGTAAACCGCAAATAATATGGTACTACATTTTGACGAAAAAGAAATCCCAAGTTTGATAACGTACCCGTCCAAATTCCTGATATAATAAATATAATTCTATGACATGACAGTTGAAGACCTGAGTTTAGTTAGTCATCAATTTTCTTTGTATTTGCAGCTTTGATGTTGTCAAGATAATTCATGACAAACTGTTGGACATGAAAGGCAATATAAAGTAAGTTGGCACTGATCATATGAGCACCTATGTGTTACCGCGAACATGTCTATAATAGTGAGGTTTAGAAACTCCTCTCCCGATCACCTGGTGCCATGGGCAACATGTGAGTCTGATGTCACCTCTTGTACAGTATATTAGTGATAATAATAATGATATACAACTTTTGATATAGTGCTCTATCTAGCTAGAATAAGCCACTCTAAAGAGCTCTACAGTACATAGATATACAATTTATACATTCAATACAATTACCATATATATTAATCAATACATTTTTTGGGAAATTCACAGGAGCAGCCTTATCAGGCACTAACTACTAGTCCTATGCCACCTGGCTAATATCTCCCTATGTGTGTATGCCTGCATATGTGCTGGAGATATATTGTGTTCTGTTTGTAGTAGGACCATGCTTCCAATGGTATCATTTATAGTGCCACCTCACTTGAATGCTACAGCATAGATACGGCAACATCCACCCCAGACCATTTTATACTCCACCTGGGTGGTTGGAGTTGTGTGGGCAGGAGAAAAACAGTTTCTCTGAATGTTCAATGCATACAGTGGCTACGGGTATCGAACCCCAGCTGCCTGCGTGGAAGGTTGGTGTGTTAACCACTCGACTTAAATACGACTTGATTAATTGATTATTGAAATTAAGCACTTTGGAATTAGTACACGAACCTCTGAAATATGATACAAACTTGTTAACAGTGGTACGATAGGGGTATTTTGTTAAACAGTTTCACTTATCTGAGGTAACAACAGGAGTTATGTCCCTTGCAGGGTGCCGGTTATACTGGTAGGGAACAAGAGGGACGTGGCTGAGCAGTTCCCCGGTGAGAGGTATGTATAGTGTGTAAGACCATGTCACCGATACCACTAGTGGCCGAGACTATCTTGTAATGTTACAATCAATAGATTATAAGAAGATCATTCCAGTTTTTAGACTATGCAACATTTTTGACAACTTTGAAATGTCTTGTGAAGCCACAGTTAAAATACGCAGGAGTAGTATGGTCACCATACAAATTAAAATATGTAGACAAACTGGAAAGCATATAACGTCACGCTGCGAAGTATCTACCTGGGATGAAGGGCTTAGAATATCCAGAAAGATTAAGGAAATTGAATCTACAAACCCTTAGCATATAGGACACTTCGAGAAGACATGATCGAATTGTACAAGATTATAAACAGAATTTATGATATAGAGGCATGTACTTTTGTTAAGCTTTGGAGTGAGGAATCGGTCAGAAATAGTAAAAGAGGAAACTTGAAAAAAATATTCCCGGATCAGTCGAACAACATCCCTGAGGAGGAGAAACTATTTCACATTTCGTTCAGTCAAAACCTGGAACAATCTTCCGGAGGACGTTGTAGATAAACTTTGGCAGAATGAAGAACTTAATATAATTATACGGCAAATGCAATTAACACTGAACTTTAACTTTATATTATACAACTGTTTAATTTTTGAGTCTTGTGTAGTGGAGCTCTATCTGCTCCTGTATTGGAAACAAACATTAACTTAATTTCATTTTTCAATCAGAAAGAAACAGTCTAAAAACCTGACATTGATCTTTGTTGTGAAAATTCCTGGCTGCTATAATTGTACAAATTGGGATATGCTGCAGTTGTCTCCCTTGTTAACATCTCTTCACATGTATTGTCGGTGTTGTGTCGTACAGGGAGGTATCAGAAGACGAAGCTAAAGGACTTGCCAGGAAGTGGGAGGTTCCGTTTATGGAGACGTCGGCCAAGGAACACGAGGTCTGTCACGGTCTCCATCTGATCCCTGTAGCATGCATTAATGTAAAGGCTTATAACTTTCTCATACAGCCTATTCTGTAATCAGTAGTATGGGAGGGAGTTAAGAGGAAATTTCCCAATTGGAGTAATCCAGAGTCTTTAAACTGTCCAATATCATGTCTGTAAACGTGAAAATTCTCACACATGTATAGTCTATCTGACTGTTTCCTTTTAAAACCATTTTTGATGGGGCGCCCCATCATTTAAAACTTAAGGAGATAGTCAGTTATTCCACACTATCACTGCAGGCTTTAGATATCCTGTGTTCTGTTTATTTAAAAAAAAAAATGCATGCCACAAAAATGATAGATTTTAGAGCTCTGGGTAAATTAAACCTATACAAAATGTGCAGGTGTGATAGTAAAATCAACACCTTGTGTTAATATTGATGCTGATGGTACCCTGTCTTAGTCTGACATCTGGGCTCAAATTGCCTGCTGCTCCCTCTTTACCTGTATTTGGGATTACAAATAGTCATAAGAAATTTGCAAACTGTAGCTATTGAAAAGACTTATCTCTGACAGTGTAAACACTTGTTTTGCAGAGTGTGAAAGAAGTTTTTTCCAAAATCATATTGGCAATTGAGCGCCTGCAAGGGAACGAGCCGGAGAAATCCTCGTGTCTACTGTCCTAGTGATCGTATAGAGAAACCAATGTATAGATATAGATATATATATATATATATATATATCAGACAGGACCATACGACACACCTGTCCACACCTGGGTAGGAAACTAATTTGGGTATCATTTGCCTTGCCAACAGGTGAATTTTGTCTCGTTAGTTTTTGTTTTATTGATGATGACTTTAAATTTGGGGTTTTGTTGAGTTTCACTATTCATTTACATTCAATTATTTGTTGTTGTGAAGTAGGATTTAGTTACATAAGGTTTGATAAGCATTGTTTACATTTCATGCTGAATGCAAATCAGATACATACATATAGCAGGCTTCCTGGTAGATATGTATGTAATAGATTTGTGTTCATACCGCGGACATTGAGAAAATGTGTTCAATCCTTATATTTATACAGCTTTTCATAGGACAATGAAATAATATTTATAGGCTTTTCTACTGAACTGATATAAGTATAGGTTGGCTTATTACCAGACTTGGGATTTGTTTAAAGTTAAATTTTAATTATGAAAGACTGATGCTATATGGAAAAAAGATAATAGTTGTTTTTATTTTTATCATTCTGGCACCTTTCACTTTTCATTTCTCTGGCGGTATCTATAGAAAGTTCAGAACTTGTTCGATTCTGGAAACATAACTGAAAGGCTTTGTATTTTTCAAGAAAAGAATTTTGCCAAAAATTCAGCATATTAAACCCATCATACATTATTGAAAGTCTCTTGTGGATTAGCCCTTTCACCCCTATGTAACTTTAGTAGACTCTACCATGCATTGATATGGATGAGTCCATTATGGTCTACAGTGGTGAACAGTTAGACACACACAGTTCAAGCTGAATTTTTATTCACATTTCAAGAACAATATCAATAACAAGAGATATCTTAATAATGTTCCTGGTGTAATATTTGTTTCGATTATTTACAAAATAAGTAATGTACTAACTCATTCACCCTTGAAGACTATTTGAACTCTTCCAATTCAAAGGTTGGAAGAGTTCATTATGAAATTGCAGGGCTGAATGAGTTAATAGGTTTATGATAAAAATAGTAGCACTTATGTGATTGTACTGGATTAATTATCAAAGTGATTGAGCCGAATTGTACCACCAGCAATGATTATCAGAATATATTTAGAATTGTATTGTGGGAGCATCTGTTGTCCTTAAATATACTGTTGTTCCAGCAGGCCTCATACCTCGTGTTAACTACATGAAACAAACTGTAACTGACAGTTCAAAGACCCAAAACCTGTTGGCAGGACGATGAACAAGGTTTTTATAGTATGGACAAGGTTGTAGCATGTCATTGATCCTGTTAAAACCTCACAATTTCATTATCAGTCTTCTTAATACAAGTTTTCCATCTGGTCAGACTATATGAAATTGATATGAAATAATATGTAAATATTCAAACAACATCAAATTTGCCCATTGTGGTGTATATACATGTAATTATGTAATTATGTACACACATGTAATTAAAATATATATAAAATGTATATATACATGTAATTGGTATATGATTTAAAAAACTTTTACTTTTATTTGTTATTCAACATCATTACACTGTGGATATAGTGTCGGAAACTATCAAAAACATTCAAGTATAGACTCATGCGACAAATTGATACATTTAGTCAAGTTATTTATTGTTCGTTTTCATTCCATTTGAATGAATTTCCTGTCCTTGAAAATCATTACTTTAGGCTTGCTGTTTGGTGTTGGTCGATCATTTCCTGTTTTAGTTTGATGATATGCAGTTTTACATTGTGCAAATCTTCTGATTTTGATGAAGGGTATAAATATAATTTTATTTCCAATAATAATTTGTAATGTAGAATCGTAAAAAAAAAATATAGTATCCACAATGAAAATTTAGTCAGTAATTTCTAATATGATGCCTGTCATATATTTTTAGGGCTGTAAGGGTTAGAAAATATGCTATCTGGCTAAAGGAATTATCCAAACCATGGATGCTCATATTTCTATGTGCTATCATGGAATTAGATTAGCTATCTAAGTTTGTGGTGCTATATGTAAATTTATATTTACACCTTTATAGCATTGTCCCTTTTTTAATGAAATTTGCTTAAATTTGTTGGTTTTTTTTTGTTGTTTTTTTATTCTTGAATTAACAAAAGGCAAAAACTACAGACACAAGTAAAGTAATTAGTTGATGTGCATTTTATAGTATGGCTTGAAATGTCTGAAGTTTCCTATCACAATTATGTGGAGAGAAAAAAATAAGAAAAGGCTGTCGCACTAGATTAATGAACAGTTGAAAAGTTTTGCCCAAAGTGTTCGTTTTAATGGATTTAAGCTGATGAAATAGTACTCTTACAGGATCCCTGTACCACTGCCCAAGACTAACTAAGTGTTGGAAAAGGATTTTTCCTTCTGGCATGACTATATATAGCTTTGCTAAATCATTTCTGTAAAAAAAACACACCTTGTAGGACTTTTATGAGAAACAATAAGAAATGAAATATGCAAAATGTAAATCAGCAACATTATTCTGAGTATAAAAAGGTCAACGGGGCCAGACCGGGATTTGAACCTTTCACTTCATATTGTTATACCATTACTCTAATTGATTGAGCTATCTGGTCAACAGAAGTGTCCTGGCTATACTGTACTTTAGAAATATCCAAACAGAAGTTAGGGGGAGGTTTCTGTGTATAGAGAAAACAACAGTGCAGTGGAACAGAAATCTTAACTTTACCATAACCCGATTCCTGGATAATTATTTCAGTCCTATACAGGAATCTTAACCTTACCATGATTTGATTCCTGGATAATCATTTCAGTCCTATACAGGAATCTTAACCTTACCATGATCCGATTCCTGGATTATCATTTCAGTCCTATACAGGAATCTTAACCTTACCATGATTCGATTCCTGGATAATCATTTGAGTCCTATACAGGAATCTTAACCTTACCATGATCCGATTCCTGGGTTATCATTTCAGTCCTATACAGGAATCTTAACCATACCATGATTCGATTCCTGGTTAACATTTCAGTCCTATACAGGAATCTTATCTTTACCATAACCCGATTCCTGGATAATTATTTAAGTCCTATACAGGAATCTTAACCTTACCATGATTTGATTCCCGGATAATCATTTCAGTCCTATACAGGAATCTTAACTTTTCCATAACCCGATTCCTGGATAATTATTTCAGTCCTATACAGGAATCTTTAACTTTACCATAACCCGATTCCTGGATTATTATTTCAGTCCTATACAGGAATTGTTGTAGTGTCTGCAAACTGTTTTTATGTTAAACTTGTGCTAACGTGTAAATTCAACTGTCTATTAAATAACCCATTCACCCCTAAAGTCACATTGGAACCTTACCTAATCAAAGACTGGGCAAGTCCAGTGTAAAAATACAGGGGTGAATGAGTTAAAAGTTATTATGTGCCGACTTTCAGAAAATCTATTGTTATGTGATGTCTCGCACAGAATCTGTTCCGACCCGTTAAGGATATACACTACCTTGCACATTGTACGTGTACTTATGATTCGTGAAACAGTTATATCCCTTAGAAATGTGTACAGAATTCGCTAACAGTTCATTACACATATTGGACAATGTTGATCAGTGCAGACCTCTTTTGAAAAGGAGGAACACCTCACATTTAGGTTGAATGCCTCCTTAACACAAATTTAGAAGTTCATTAACTTATTCAGCCCTGAAGATGCATTTGAACTCTTCCAATTCAAAGGTTGGAATAGTTCATGATGAAATTTCAGGGGGTAAATTAGTTGAATATAATGTGCAATGTTAATCAGTGCAGACCTCATTGGAAGAGGAGGAACACCTCATTGAATGCCTCCTTAACACAAATTTAGAAGTTCATTAACTCATTCAGCCCTGAAGACACATTTAAACTCTTCCAATTCAAAGGATGGAATAGTTCATGATGAAATATCAGGGGTGAATTAGTTAAATATAATGTGCAATTTTGATCAGTGCAGAACTCTTTTAAAAAGGAGGAACACCTCACATTTAGGTTGAATGCCTCCTTAACACAAATTTAGAAGTTCATTAACTCATTCAGCCCTGAAGACACATTTGAACTCTTCCAATTCAAAGGTTGGAATAGTTCATGATGAAATTTCAGGGGGTAAATTAGTTAAATATAATGTGCAATGTTAATCAGTGCAGAACTCTTTTAAAAAGGAGGAACACCTCACATTTAGGTTGAATGCCTCCTTAACAAAGATTTAGTACTGCTGATGCCAAAACACAGAGCACCCATGCACACTAACATGATATGTGTACGTATCTCAAGATCAGTATGTACTCTTTGTTTTCTTGTGGAAAGCTTCATGACATTTTATAGTGCTTATCAGCAATATGCTTATAGAACCCGTTATTAAATGTACCATGTAAGATTTGAGCGTGTGGTTTTTTCTTCGGGTTATTATTGGATTGCATTTAATAAATTTGATTTAATGTTGTCATAGTGCTTGTTTCTAATTTCATATTGTAATGTAATATAAAGGCCGTGATCAGGTCTCTGGTTCGAATGAATTTTGTGTACTACATGTGTATATATATATACATCACCTGTTGTGTATTTGTAGATGTAGATCTACTATTTAACTGTGCGGTGGTTCTCAGTATTAAATCCAGAAACTAGGTTTTTTGCTGATAGGTTGTAAATCTAAGTTTGCAGTTAGGGGTAAAATGATGACAATGATAATAATATTCAATACGGTATGTACTTTTCTTACATTTGTTGCGAAAAAAGAGTTTGAGCACTATGACCCTCATTTTTATTTTCAAAAAAAGGTCATCACCCTCTTTCAGTATATCCGGGGTTGGCAGGTATGATATTGTGAACTATCAGATGGTACCTTGTATGTATCACAGTATATACAATACTTCCATGATTTGATATTGTCTACAGTACCGTGAAACTTTGTCTGATCAAAACCAATGTTTGTTAAGTGTTATCCTTTGCTCTCCACATGTAATTACTTTATCTGATATGTTGTGTACTAATAACTATTGTTATAATAAATTTGCACTCAAGATAAAAGGCGAAATAGGCAAAGTTTAACTGCAACACAATGTCCTAGTATACAGTGTTTCAGCTGCATTATAATGTTAAAATTTTACCATCAAGGAACTGTTGATTTTTGTTTTAAGCCTATTCCAACATTATTGGATGCACGGAAGAACTTAATCTTCATTGGCTTATCATTAATCATATATAACTTGTTGTTTTTAATAACGTGCTGTGCTAATTCTGAAACAAGCCAAATGGTTGGAGGAGAAAACATTTAGACAACTTTTAAATAAGCACATGCAATGCAACACTGATTGTACTAAATTACACACGAGTCTGCCAGAAAACAATGAGTGTACTGTAAACAACATTAAAAACATTTTAACTGAAAAACGGGGGAAATACTGCCGTCAATGGATCCCTGAAGTGCTGCGGTTTATTGTTCATGATTAATGTATCTCTCAAACTAGTCCAANGGGGAGGGGGGGGGGATGTTTAGATCTTTCTCCTGTACATATAATATAAATAGAGCTACAAAATACCCAAGAGTTGTCTGGTCACTGACAATTTAATATGGGCCAGTTGTAAAATATAGTTACTGCTTAGCTTAGTTTGAGAGGTATTAGAAGGATAACACTTACACTATAGTGCTGTAGTTGTCCAAGATATCGTGGCCTTTTCACCTCGTGTTTGCGCCTGCTTATATATAAATTGCTTCATTTTATGGTGGAAATGATGTATTCACAAGGTTTGAAAGCCGCAAGAGGAACCATCAGAGTTAAACATCACAAAACGTCACAGGTAATCTAAAGATAAATTGCCATGTATCTGAATACATGTAATGATTAAGGATGAATTTCTCATTTCGCAATCAGTTCTTCTCCAAACAGTAGAACTTAAAACATTTTTATCACAAATACAAGTGTTTGACTGTAGCTATATAGGTGTTTGTTGTATTTTGTTTTAAGTGATTTAAATATCGTGTAGCTAGCTGGGTTTATAAATAACTGTTTGCTCTTACTCCTACAGAAACTTATTAGTTTCTTTGGCCACTTCTTCATATTACATAAACGCTTGTCCCATATGCATGTGGAACACTTTATGGAAAACCTTGTCTCTGCTCTTTCCAAGGGTATGGCTTTAGTTTGTGTAAATGTTATCTAGAAACTTTGCTATATTAAATGTTTCTTGCAGTGTCTATGTCCTGTTTTACCCAAAATTCCAGTTAACAAGTGGGAGAAAAAGAGTCGATCAGTAGGTAGGTATGTGGGATATGGATGTTCTACCCTCGTATGTATAGTCAGAAGCTGAAGGCGAGGGGTAACAAAATGGGTTGTCAGCGTGTTATGTAACAGAGGTTCTGACACCAAAGTCTGCACCAGCGGATATGAAATCCATATCCCACACACCTAGATATGATAAA